CCTGGTCTGGACCTCTGTCCTTTTTCCATCGAGAGAGAACAATACCTATTGCGAGAGCTGCCCCTGCCCACCAGGCTCTCCCCCTGATTTTTCTGGTGGTGGGGACTGTTTCCGGGGCCAGGTGCAGAAAAGTCACTCACACCTGACACTCCTCTGCCTGTGATCCTCCGTGGCTCCCCATTACCCAAAACCACACCCACCTCCCTGTCCCCGCACCCCCTGCACGTGCCAATCTTTCAGCCTCAGCTTGCCACTCCCTGGCCCGGACCCCGCTGGACCCTCCAGGCACGTGCACACGCCGTTCCCTCTCCCTCATGCCCGCGCTCACTGGCCAGGGAAGCACCTACGTGTTTTCAAGGCTCCAATGGAAAGGGCCCTCCCCTGGGAAGCCCTTGCTGCCCTCCCCGGGCTCCTCTGGGACTGCTCCACACCGGAGTTCACCTCCACCACTGCACTTAGCACCACATCCTACTTCTGCCTTACACACCAGCCTGGGACAGAGGACATGACCACACTGGGCGTAGTGCCCTCGTCTGTAAAATGGGAATCACCACCGTAACTGCCTCCTGGGGCCGTTGCAAAATTATAAGAATTAATATATAGGAAGCGTTTGGGGCGGTTCTTGTCACATAGCAGGTGCCTGATAAACACCTATGTTAGTATCAGTCCCCCACTAAATTTTAAGCTCCTTAGAAGCAAGCAGTATCTTATTCCTTATTCCCAGCAACTAGGGCACAGTAGGTGCTCGACAAATATGTGTGCGGCAGGAATGAATAAGTGAATGAGTGATGATTGCCATTTCTGGTTCAGATTTGTGCCTCCCCTGTGAGCTCACAGGCTGGGGTGGGGGGCCGGGAGCACAGGAACCATGTGTATATGCATCAGCGATGCACCCTATGTCAGCACAGCCTGGCTCAGGGCACATGCTGGGTCTGCCTGGACTTGCTCCTCCTCCCTGCGTGGTCCCCTCAGCAGCAGTCAGGCCAATGGGGAAAGCCCTGGACGGGCCCAGCTCTAACCCAGACTCTGCGCCTCCCTTCAGTGGCTGAGGGTCAGGCTGCTGATGTCCCAGCACCTCCCTTCTCCAACAGCCTGCTCACAAAGATTCTCACTCCCCCGTGCTTCCCCCATCAACCTGAGAGCTTCTGAAGATGGGGCTTCCCTTCTCTGGGCTCCTCACCGGCCCCTATGTTCCCCCGTACCTGAGCCCCTCCTTCCACTGGGCTCCGTTCGGGGGGCTGCCTTCTGGCCGTGGGGGGCCTTGGGGGGCTTGTGGTCAGGGGTGGGGGCCGGGCCTGGGTGGGCCTTGCTCGCACAGTCCAGGTCAGGGATGGCCTTCAGCAGCTCCGCCTGTGTCTCCTCCAGCAGCCGATTGATGTCCTTGGCGCTATACTGGGTCAGGGCCGCCCGCTTCTCCTCCCAGTCCCGCTCAGCAGCCTAAGAGGAGGGGGCAAGAGTCAGGACTACAGTGGCCGCCCCGCTCCTGGGCCTTGGGGGCCTCAGCCCCTTCCCCCAGGCACACATGCAAGGAACGGTAAAGGAAGCCCCACATTTGGCCCAGCCCCCCGGAGCCCCGGGAACTTCTCCTTGAATATTACAAGCTTTCTCCATGAGTCTTCATAGACTACTCTCTGGATATACTTAGACCTGTTTCGGGACATTCTCTTTTGTTTCATTGATCACACAGTCTATTCTTATGCTAACGCCACACCGCTTTAGCTATTATGGCTTTATAATATGTTTTTCTGACTAGTAGGCTCCTCAGACTTCCTCCTTCACCAGGAGGAATTACCCATGCCACGTCGGCACTCCCAACCTTGGATGGTGGGAAGAACCTGTGAGCCCAGCTGACCCCCTCCCCCGGGCCCAGTACCTCCACAGACACAGCCTTGTCCACGCTTCTCTTGCCAAGAGCGTCCAGGCCTTTGGTGGGGTTGCCCCCCTTGGGGGTGGAAGGGGCTCCCTCAGCTGGCCCACTCAGCTCGTGGAGGTTGAGCGGAGGGCTGGGCGGTGGCATTTCAAAGTCCAAGCTCTTGTTGAAGTCAGTCTCGGCGGTCACCTTCTTAGGGGACTGGCTCAGGAGGTTGTTGGGGGGCGGCCACACACCCTCGTCCACTTGCCTGGGGTCGGAAGAGTTAGAAGCAGCTGTGAGACCAGCAGGGGGTGGGCCCACGGGAGGGAAGCCTGGCCTGAGGGAGGCGGGGGTAAGAAGGGCCCTGGGGTCTTGCAGGACAGAGGCGAGGGCCTGGGGAGGAGTGACCGCACCCAGCATTAGGGACAGACAAGCCTCGAACAGGTCAGAGTTGGGGTATAGCTCCAGCTGGACATCAATGACCTTTAAAAGGGGAGTCCGGATAAGGGGTCAGGCTGATCTATCCATCTGGGCCCAGTGTGTGCCCCCGTGGGAAATCGGAGGTCAGAGGTCAGAGGCCAGGGGCAGAATGACCTTCGGATCTGGGCCAGCGTGTCTGTGACCCCGCGGCAGCGTTTGAGCAGCCCATCCAGGCGCTGGGGCCCTCCTTCAGAAACTTAAGGGTTAACCTCCGGGCAGCCCCTCGTCCGGCTCTGAAGCCCTGGAAGGAGAGCTGAGGGCACGGGGAGGGGGGGGCGGGGGGGGAGAGCAGCTCAGAGGAGGGGGGGAAAGGGCCGGGGAAAGGGACGGTGTTTGTTTGGCGGGA